TATTTTTTTATTTTTTATTTTTAGATTTTATTATTTATTTATTTATTTATTTTTTAGGTTTTTAAGTAATCTCTATATCCAGTGTGGGGCTCAAACTTACAACCCTGAGATCAAGAGTTGTATGTTCTACTGACTGAGCCAGCCAGGCACCCCTGCTTCACTGTCCTGTTAATGAAGTATCTGAAGTAGAGAAAAAGGTGTGTTTGATGCACCACATTTAACCAGAAGTCTCCTTATTAATAGGTCTTAACATGTATAGATGTAATGAACATATCTTCTAAGTAGAAAAAGCTAAAATATTGTTATAGGCAATTCCAGAAGAATTATAGTACAATAATAGAATAACTATAACTTTTATTGAGTGCTTATATGTGCTAAGCAGTCTTTTAAATGCTTATCTATATTGTATATATTACATATCTTATCCTCACAATAACCCCTTAGATGGGTGTTATGATTCAACCCCCAGCAATCTGACTCCAGAGTCCCTATGTATATAACGTGGTACATCATTCTCTAAGTTATAAGCAATCTCTTCATTTTCAATTTGTCAGATCTCTAGTCAATCCCTATTATTGCTGACTTAAGTTATACCTAAGGTTTTTCATGTAGATTTTGAACATATACAGCCATTATTTGATGTAGCATAGCTAACATCACATTTGATGTATCTATTTGAGGATACATGTTGGAGGTAGGACAGAGTAGTTTATGACAAATTTTAAAGCATAGTCATTTAAACTGGGAAGTCTGGCATGTGTTTGTTTTATAATACAGACAGATGGGCATTTCCTCTTAAAGAAAGCAGTTACCATCTGTAATCTGAGAGGTCAAAGAGAAGCAATTACAAATCCTACATTAGTAACACAAAACTTGAAAGCGCCTGTTTAAATGAAACATGATCTCTGCAAGACTTCAACACATTGAAGCACTGATGGCCTTGAACACCCTAATTCAGAGAATTCAACCCCTCATTCTTTGAAAATTTTAGTACCAGGCTCATTATCACTCTCTCCAAGGCTACTTGCTACTCCAACATTACTAACAGTCCTTTGGTAATTCTTTGTGAGATGAATACATATATATCATATATTTCAAACACTCTCAATTCCTTGACCAGCTCTCTTCAAACGATCTTACACTAGCTGCTATCTCAGCAACCCACTCTCATCATTATTCCCTATACCTTGACATTACTGACAACTACAGTCCCACCTCTCATTTTAATTTCAAGCCTCCTACTCTCCAACCCTCTCTTATCTTTTCACATTATTCTTTATAGTACCAAAACTCCAACTCTTCTTCAACCTGATCAGAAACACCAATCTATTTGCCCTACCATTTTTTGCACTGTTTCCCACCCCTCTCATAGCCTTACCTCTTACCTCCTCTGAAGTTACAGTGCCCCCTTTGCTTCTACCCTCAGCCACTTGGCCCATCGCTCCCCATCCTACTTGCCTGGCCAAATCTCAGTCCTGGTTAATCCCAAACCGCACATAAGCAATGGAATACGGGTAGCAGAAAATGCACAACCATATTCACTGGTCTGACTGTAAGTTCTTGACCACTCATTCAGGCAAGCCCTTACTAGTGCCTGAAAACCCTACTATGCTTCCCTAGTCAATCTCTCTCCCACAGTCAGACTGCTTTTTCACCTCTCCACCCTCCACCTTCTCCCAAGCCCCGACCCCGTCAGTTATTGACTACATTAGCTAGAGTAAAGCTAAAAGAGACCCCCCCCAAAAAGCTCCAACCTAATAGAGAAATTTAGATCTTGCTCACATAATAATTGACGGTGGGGGTTCCAGATCAGCGGGCAGCCCTCCATCGGGGCACCTTCTTTCTTGTGGCTCCGTCAACCCCAGGGGCTTGTAGTCCTCTGCATAATCCAGCTGGCAGAAAGGAAAAATGCATGGAGACACACTGGCCAGAAATGATGTCTGCTCACATTCCACTAGCAATAACTTAATACTTGACCATACTCACTGGAAGAAAAGCTGAGAAAAATAGTCTGTGTGCCGAGGAGGAAGGGAAGAAGAGATCTTGATGGACAATTAGCAGTCTGCCAAATGATCTTGCTTCTTAGTTCACTGAGAAAATAGAAGCAACTAGAAAAGAATTTCTATCAAATCCACAAGCCTACTTCCATATGTCCCATATACATGGGGGTGGGGGGTTGGGGATTATATTTCTAGGCTGTTCCCATCACAAAGGAGGAATTTCCAAGCTTTTAATTAGAACAACATGGTCATATGATCATACCACCCAATTACAAAATTCAGACACACTTTCTTTGTGCTCTTTAACCTCTGTGATATTAGATAGGGTCGATAAACACTCCTTCCTGCCCCTGCTTTTGTGAAACTCCAATTTACCTTGCTTTGGTGATTTTGCTTTACCCTGGTTCTCCTCTCACTTCCTCCTCCCTCTTTCTTTGCTGGTTTATCTCATCTAGATTAGATCCCTTCTTTATTTGTTGGCTTCTCCTATCTAGGTCAGAGTTTATCAAACAATGATGTGATACAAATCACTTAGGGTTCTTGTTAAATTGAGGGCACTGATTTAGCATGTTTGAGGGTGAGGGGGCTGAATTTCTACCTTTCTAACCCCCTGGTGATGCCAATGCTGCCGGGCCATTGACCACACTTTTGAGTAGCAAAGCTCTAAAGATGTTCTCCAAGATTCTGCCCTTTGTTTTCTTTTCTCTCACAGTGATAGCACCACTAAGCTGCTAACTTACCAATCTGTTTTCTAGTTCAACCCTCTTTCCTATATTTCAAAGTTTTTATTTCTAACTTCTTAGTAGCCACCTCTATCTGGCTGTTTCAACAATCTTTCAGATTCTTAGTGTCCAAATCTAAACTGATCTCTCAAAAAGCACTTCCTACTTGTGTCTCTTCTATAATTACCTACACACTCAGAACCTCCACTATCTTTGATTTTTCGCTTCCACCTTCATATACGTTCTCATGTTATCCCCTCTTCCTGTAAAACCAATTAATCAATTGCCAAATTTTGTTGATTTTGCTTCCACATCATCTTCCTGCCCTACCTTTAGTTCAGACTCATCGTTACCTTTCACCTGGCCTTTTGCAGGTCTGTCTGGAGGTTTTCCCACCTCTGATTTCTGTATCCATTCACAGAGAGGCCTTTCTTTCCCCAAACTTTTAAACCACGAAAACTCAAAGTACTGTGTTAAATACAAATTCTCCCACTTGGCATAGGGCCCCATTCCCCTTTGTCTCTGCCACTTCTCAACATACCCTGGAATTTAACCATTTACTTTTTCCTGAGCATAACTTTCATTGATTGATCTTCATAAATGTTCTCATGCTACCCCTTCTTGCTGTAAAAACATCCTCATCTCCTTCAGGGTCAATTCCCAATGTCTCCCCCTCCATGCTGCCTCTCTTTCCTGATCCCCCAGACAGATATGAGCAGTTTTTTGATCTTCAGTACTCTTTGTGTTTTTCATATGGCACCTATCGTGGTTTGTCTTTTATTAGAAGTGTTTTATCTTTATTTTATTCCTTACTCTCCGAAGGTAAGGTTAACATCTTTACCGTCCGTAACCCCGCTGACGTTACCTATGGGAGCTTATGTCTACTATTAGTTAAATCAAAGTAATTTAGGGACATACTGTGATCAATGGTAAGCAGTACAGAATCTGAAGTGAATACAGCTGGGTTCCAGCTCTGACATTTATTAGCTGTGAGGCTTTGGGTGAGTTACTTGGCTTGTAAAATGAGAATCCTGCTACCTGATGGAGCACCAAGGGAGATAACGCTGAAGTGCTGTGTAACTCTACAGAGAACTGAGCAACGTTGGTTATTTTCCTTACGGAGAGCTGATGCAGTCTGCTATCGAAATCTTGATTTGCAGGACTATCCCTACTTCACTAATTGGAGGTCGAACCCGGGTCACTAGGTCCCACGGCCCTCTTCCACTCCACGGCCCCCAGACTGCTCTCGGCGACGCAGGTGAGGCCGCCGAACTGCGGGGGGAATGGCCCGGAGCCCTATCCTCTCGGGAGGCTTCCCTCCTTCCACACGCCCAGGGAAAGCCCTTCTTTTCCCGGTAACCCCGAGGACCGCGGCGCCGCCGCCTACGCGAGCCGTTTGGACCCTGCCCGGCCCCCGTAGCTCCCCTTCTCCAGCAGGTGGTTCTGGTCTTCTCCCCCAACTCAGGGCGCTCACGTCACCGGCGAACCTCTACCCACGCGCCAGCGCCGCAACCAACCGAGAAAATAAACAAACCCCCGCGCGCGGCGGCGGGCGCGCCTGGCCCCGCCCTCGCTCCGCCCCGCGGCTCTCACGCCGCCCC